AATCCAGGTCTTCTAGATTCTTCACTTTAGTCCAGGATATCCCTGCCAGTTATGTTGCATGACTCAAATTAGCTCAGATTTATTTATTTATTTCAGGTTAGACCACGGTTTGATATCAGTTAGAGAATCATTGAAAACCAGCTGTTGAGTACTGGACAACCGTTTCATCCCAGTAGTAGTTTGGGACTCATCAGCATTACACACCCACCAGCAGGGGAGCTTGACCCCAGGACCTTCCAGTTACAAGGCGAGCTCGTATACCCAACTCAATGGCCCATGAATTCCAACTTAGATGAGCTCATGATTTTAATATGACCACCAATCGGTGTTATCGGTAGAACTTCATCCTGATTCCCGAGTGGATGAATCCACTGGTCAAATTTATTTTATTTAAGTTTTATACCCAACTGATTCTCTCTGTATAACAAAATTCCCTTAATTTGAATGATAAATCCTCAGAAACATTCATTCTGTCGACAGCTGGGGAATGATATTGTTGAGGTGATGGGAAAGTTCAACCTGAGACTAATGGCTAACCTGAGAAATCATTTGGTAATTTAAGACAGAATAACATTCGATTGTATGTACACAGAAGATATGTTATACAGGAAAATGAAATCCCCTCTGAAATATGTTGATTCAGAATGGTTATCGAGTGGTGTTCATCAATAAATATACGAAAAGTATGATTGATAATCTGCTTAAGGCAGATTTACGAGAAATGATGTTCACAGTAGGCCTAATATTCAAAGGTGATACAACAAGTGAAATTCTTCTAAGTAGATTAATAAAAATATCATATATGTGTAAAAATTGGGCACTGCAGTAGTATGTCATTCCATATTAATTCGTTTATCACACATATCACACAGTGAAACAGTATTAATGTTAACTGGATGACAAAGTTTCAAACAAAATTTACTGTTCTTCATAATCGCACAACTTCGAAATTTGAGTTTTATAGCTTCTTTTAATCTTTCCTGCTTGTCGTCGGGGTGGGTAGTAGAATTTTTCCGATATCTGAGTAAAACAGGTGTTGAATCATTTCTACGACACGTCTTTGCAGTTGATTGATTCGATAAGCTCAAAGCTTCCGTTATCAATCTCTGCCTCCCTCCACCCTGTTATATTAGATTTCCAGACTGTCATCCATTCTATTGTATGGTTGTGTGTGTGTGTGCGTAATAGCATGTAGTGAGTGTTATAGCTGAACTATGCTCTAGATTTCTTATCTTATTCTGATCAACCAATCTAGGTTTTGCTAGGTTTTATGTTCCGCTACTCTAACTGATCCCGTTCTACTTCTTTGACCTGATCATGGAATATACACAGTTGATCATAGCCAATAATATAAAGACAGTTGCAGTGAAGAAAATTTTATTTTCGACGAAATCATCAACAAGGCTGTATATTCGTATATTTATAATAAATGGTTAGGAATGTTCCAGAATAATTTCTGATCAAGGGTCAGATTAATACAGTTACAATGAGGAATTAAAATACTATAATAAACTGGAGGGAGGGATAAAACCCAAAGTGGCATCATAATTACTGAGAAGATTGACATATTGTGCAATTAGAGGTTAGAAATGTAGAAATAACAACAATAGACAGGATGTTTGGGTAAATTCATGCAATTCTTTATACAATTAGGGATTAAATATGTAGAAATAATGAAACGGCAAAATAGACAGGAAGTTCGGATATTGAAAATATGGTAGTGTAAATAGGGATTAAGGAAGATTTAAAAATAACATGAATAAACAGGAAGTTCGGATAAGAAAGGTAATGGGATAGTCACTATTGGAAGAATTACTGCTTGATACCATAGATGGTAATCAATAAAGTAAGTATATATTTACATAAAACTATATACTGATAATTGATTGAGATAAAAATTAATTCTCAGAATTGCAGATTAATTCACAAGTTATCGATTCGATTCATGGTTTCACCATTTCGCCTAAGTAGCTAACCAGAAATTGGGTGGTATGAACTGTTACAGCTTTCTGAGCTGAGTTATGGAACCGGACACACCCTTGATGAGCTCATCCCAGAAAGAGCGAAATGACTGTCGGTTGTCAACACTACCTCCATCTGACTAACAAACATTACTGGTCGATAGGAATGGTTTGCAACTACTCTCATTTGAATTAATCAGTAGTTTATAGTTTTACATCTACCTGGGAAGCATCGTTTCAACTATAAGCAGGAGGAACTGACAAGGATATCAAAGCAGCGAGGATCGGGAAAGCAAGGCAAGCTTTCATTTCTCTCAAGTCTGTGTGGAGATCAACAGAACTCACCTTAAAAAATAAGATCCGAATTTCCAACTCCCATGTGAAGTCAATGCTACTAGACGGACCAGAGATTTGACACCCCTCCGCGTCACGAAGGGCAATTCGAACAAACTTCAAACTTTTATCAACAGCTGTCATCGCTCAATACTCAAGATCAAATGGCTGGCCAGAAAAGACCTACAACAGGAATGAAATTCTGGGAGCGAACCAACCCAGCAGGAACCGATTGTGCAACAAATCCGCAGGAAGAATTGGAGGCGGACATGCCATATTCTGAGAAAATAAACCATCGACTGACATCTCAAACCAAGCCATCGCTCGAGGCGAACCCGGCCAAATGGGAAGCAGCGAGTTGATCGTCAGTGCCATGGTGACATAGAGGAAGTCATGTGAAAAGAGTATGAAAGCATGTGGGTAGACGTGGAGCCAGGTGATGAAAACGTTGGTGGAGAACCGAACGCAATGGAGACGTGCGACTGAAGCCCTATGTTCCTGTAGGAACTATAACAAACAATAATAATATAGTTTTATACAAAAATGTCTATTCCCTTGCTCCTGTGGAGTTAAATTACACCAGTAACACATTGACATTTTTTAACCTGGTTTTTAAATCAAGATATTAGATAAATAAACATAAGCTAATTCTTGACCGCTTCTTACTTATCGTTAGGCATAAATAGAAGATTCTAGAGTTGTGTTCTTAGGTTTAAACTCTCATGGGATTGAGGGAGTGTGTTGCAGAAGATTCCGTTGGAAAACAAAGAGGATGATACATTTGTGTCGAAAAGCTGTCTGGTTATCAGTAAACTGTCTGACTGATGTTTATTCTAAACAGCACTTTTGATACCGTTCCTAATAATTAAATTCTACTGTCTCTTTGATTAACATCTAGAAATACCAGATGTCTGTAAGACAGTCTGTCTCCCTTTCACACACACACACACGCAGACACACACCCATATAGGAAAAACAGCTGATTTTCGTTTTCTTTATAAACATTCAAGCATTTCCTAACCATTTCTGTTAAGCATGTTAAACAACTAATTTTAGATTGGTTCATAAAATATGAATCAATCACATTTCACGTTGACAAAAAATCCTGATTTTTGCACGTTATCCCATTCATAACAGCTGTAGTAGGAGTGAGTGGTAGTTACCATTTTTAAAACGTAAATTTCATGAATTTTTTATTTCAACCCGAAGATAAGTCCCCAAAATGTGTGCTGGAACACTATCTAACCTGACTAGCCAGTGGAGAAACGAAAGAGAACACTAGTAGTTCTATCCTCGGAGATCTTATCAACTCTTAATATCGGCAGCTGTGATCCCCCCTGCTCACATCCACAACATGATCACTTTACACTGAGTGCCAAATAAATTTCTTAAATATCTCACGAAACGACTCCGAATACATCATATATATATATATATATATATATATATATATATATATATATATATGCGCAGTCGAATCACTGGCGGCTATTTGGAACCTGAAACTGGATCTCTAAATTCAACGAAGCCCTACAGACATCCACTTACCTTACGGTGGTCAGAGTAACCTTCTCACCATAATTTTGTTTCATTGTGTTATGTAAGTTTATTGCTATTATTGTTATTTTGATTAATAAGTTTTGCATTTCTAATATAGATTTTAGATTGATAAGTCAGTTTTCACAGGCACACTTACGCACATACACAGTTATTACGTCATTTCAACTTCTGTCGACTCTCCCCCAAACCCCACCCCACCGTCTTACCCTCAATTTTCGAATCTCTGATCCATTAGTCATCCCCGAACCCCTAGATTACACAACTCACTTTGAGTAATACAGTGACTATAGAGAGAGAATAGTTACCAGTATCGATCGGGCTGGTGTTATGAACTGTTTGACTCTACGCATAAACAAACGATTATGCAGCTGTAACTGTTGAAATTAACGATTCGTCGAATAGCGGAATTTTCTTCTCTGGTCAACAACAGCTTAGCTGTAACTGACTTCATCTATGTGTCCAACTCACTCACTCACACACACACACATAAAAATGCACTTCAGTTACCTGGTTTACAATTACTCATCGTCTAAAGATTATCAATAACATTCAAACTAGATAGGACATATAAATTGGTACAGATACATACCTGATGATGTAGATAGATAGATAGATGGATAGACAAACACATCGGTAATATGTACGAATTCAATCAAATTGAGCGATAGACAAACACACACAGATACAGACACACGCGCAAAGAAACACAGTCCCATACGAATACACATCCACATATATAGACGAGCTCATTTATATGCATTTTATGCTTCTAAATTACATTTATACCACAAGATGTCATGTATGCTTTAGTCTTATTTTACTCAAATTCATTCATTCAAGATGTACAAATAATGATAGAAACCAAAAAAATCGATAAAATGAGATCTTTTTTTTCACCTTCACATATACTCTAATAAATAATACCTCTAACACACAGAGAAATAAATACATGAGCACAAAGAAATAGACAAAGTGAGAATGTAAGCAAGAGAGAGAGAGACCAGCTACGTGCATTCACAATAACATGTTACAGTTAATACTCATAATAATTAGTATTATTACTATTAATACTACTATTATTTAGAATATTATTGGCCCATTCTTGTTTTGTTTTCAATTGTAATAATAATAATAATAATAGTAATCATGGAATTTAATCGAAAATCAATTCGACAAATTGGTTATTATACACCAACGTATTCAAATTCACCAAATATAATAAAACGATATAAAAATGATGTCTCTTTGTTTAATATTAATGCTAACACTTATCGTTCGGAACTAGACGGTTTAAATTTACCGCAATTTTATATGGCGGAAAATTTAAAACAATACAAATATTATAAAGATGGTGAACAGAATAAAATAACAAATACTACTACTGTTAATAATAATGAGAATTTTACAAGTAGTCATATGAGAATAAATCATACACTTGATGGTAAAACACAGATTATCTATGAAACACCAAGTAGAACACGTCAGTATTGGTTAAATCGTCGTCGACTAGCTAGTGCTAATCGTACCAATGATAATATCACTATCATAACTAATAGTGCTGTCAATCAAAATATAAATCAATTGATTAATAAAACAAATGACCCATTGAAAAATAAAAAACATTCAATATCCAATGTTCAATTTTCACTCTGTGGTACAACAACAATTAGAGCAAAGACACCAGCTACAGCAACACCAAATAATCAATGTTATTATAAAACGCCAGATCATAAAGGTGAATTAGACCATTGGAACATTGAACATAAGTGTATGCATAAAACGAAAGATATGAAATTATTTGAATTAACAGAGAATGAATTTATTCTATCGGAATTAGATCCAAGATTAAATTTAAATGAAAGTGGAATTATATTGAGTGATGGGAAAAATTATTTAAATCATTCTAGAGAATATGATGAGATACCTGTATATCAACCGATTGAAGAAACGAACAAGGTTCGTTACATTCTATCTATCTTTTTGAATATATGTAATATTTTGTGCTCATATTTTGTGAGCTTATCTATTATGCTTAGAGCCTGGTTTTGCATAGATTTGGTTGGTTACAACTTTAATGATTAACTGATGTCATTTAGAAAACTACTGGAAAAGCTGTAGGAAGTACTGACCGATAGCTGTTTCGTCCTAGTTTGGGACTCTTCAGAGCACTAAGCATTCAAAACCCTACAACCAGGGATCGAACCTAAGATCTTCAGGTTACAAATATGGTCAGCCCGTTGACCATTCAGCCAATACGACGGGATTCATTAGATAGCCTGTAAATTTCAACTAAAATTGAGAAGTTTAACTCCACAATCATCCGGAGTCATTGGAAAGTTTAAAAAAAATGTAGTGATAACCGATCTATGTTTACTGTTCAACAGAAAATTTTATCCACGGACCATCCGATGTCAATCTAGGAAGCATTTCCAGTGTATGTAAACAAGAAAATTACAGTTAAAATATCCTTTCTTAAACGTTTGCTTAAAAAAAATAATTTTTTAAAAACCTCATGTATAAAATATGCATGCTTGTATCAAATTAAATGGCCCATTTCTCTGATTAATTAATTTTTATCAGCGAGAGTGATGGCTCATTTGATTTGGAAAGATTGTAGTAACACATAAGTTTTAATGGCGCTCAAGAATTTTTATACGAGGAGATCAAGGACGTCTCTCCTGTCGCTGAAATGTTTTCCATTCCTAAAAGAACCGAAGGTTCACTTTTGTCCTGTGACATCACTGTCATTAAAATCTTTTAATACGCCACAGTGGAATATATTTTAATTGGCTAATTGTTATCATTGTTCCCTGAGGTTCCAAGTGGAATATAGGGCTTCAGCGAAGCATCTCCGTTTCATTACTCTTCTCTGCACTTCTTTTTAACTAATTACACAATTATCCATAAGCACTCATTTCCTTCACACACAAGATATCTACCATATCATCCTCAGTTGGCGCTCATTTCGTCACTCGTTTCCCAATAGGCTCCTAGTCGAGTTCTGAGTAGGCTCGTGAGGTCACCTAACGGATTCATCAGTATCTTCCTTCCGACCCACCTCCATTTTCTTCATCACATTTTTTAGCGACAAGTTTCTGGATGTTTCACTGACTGTCCGAGTTCTTCGTTGTTTATCTTTACCGGATGGCCGTGTGATCTTCATTGTGCAGTCAGAGATGTCAGGTGCTGATAAAAGTCTATAGTACTCTGCTAGATGCGTCGGTGGATTAGCGGTTAGGACGCTCGCTGACCATGCACATGGTCCGGGATTTGATCCCCGGCTGACGCACTCCCTTACCTCGCTAAACCAGAAATAATGCTAGTAAAGAGGAAGGGTTGGGCATGAGGCTAGCAACCCCATCCTGTAAAAATAATCACAACTGCTACAGAAACTTCAAGCCACTAGCTTGAAGCCCTATGTTCCACTGTGGAACGTGAAGGAAAGAAAAAAGGTCTGCTAGGAGTGCTTAATCTCTGAACCATATAAAAGCACTAACTATCCTAATAATGGCGTTGGAAATCAAAAATCTGTCCTTGATTTCGCTTATAGAAGACTTCTTGACTGGTTTTGACATTCTCATTTGTACTGACTGCCTGGAGTTGAAACGATACTGCCTAGATAAATAAAAGAAGGGATTTCCTTCAAATTTCTCCCACTAATAATAATTGGTGCCTGTTTCTGTTGGTTGGGTTTCTTATACAGCCCCCCCCCTAGCCAGCTTCACACATTGTGAGAACATTCCATATTCTCATAGTTATGTTTACTTTCATCAAAAGGAGACACATCGACTGACTGATTTCCTCAAGGCTCTCCTCAGCCCATGTTATTCCATCGCTCCGATTACAGAGAAGGATAAGTTTCCATAGACGGGATTTAGCGCGACCACCAACCAATGTCACTGGCAGGAAATTTTTCTCCACACTTAACTGGATGGTCACACCTGATAAACACATCTTACAAATTCTTACAAATCAACTCTTGAAAACTAATCTGATGCTGGCTAGTGACTAGCTACAGTACGGAGGTGCCTGGAGTTCTAGTGAGTAGTCGTGACCAGTGAGATTCATTCAATCAAGTGTGAAGATGGAGTTCCCACCTATGACACTGGTTGGTGGTAGAGCTAAATCACAAAGTGGTAGAAATTAGAATTCATGGACTAACCACTGAATCGGATTCCAGTGGTTGAATGGTATACTAGCTTGCCTTGTAACCGGAAGATCCTGAGTTTGAAACTCAGTGGGTGTGTACTGCCGATGGGCTCCAAACTACTGGGATCAGACAGCTGTACAGTACTCCCTGGTTTTCAAGTGTTCTCTTACTGATATCTATCCATGGTCAGACTAGAAAAAATATATATTAATACGACTGTACAGCCACTGAAGATGGTTTTGTCGTTATCGAAGCATTTTTTTTTCGCCTAATTGTCTTTTATTCTCTCCATGAGTCAATTAGTATTTTCGAGTGAATGCTTCTGTTAATTATCCCCCGACTCCATACTTTGTAAATGAAAACGGAAGATTAAATGCAGTACTGCACTGTATGCTGAAAATTCCACATTATATCAGATAAAGTGTTTGAAAGAGAGCTATTGTTATCATTATTGCTGTAATTGGCTTAGCTTTCTAAGTTTATAGACCTGTGTACAAGTGTGCCAAGTGGGAGAGTTACACATTAAACATAAGTCTGTGTTTATAGCAATGTCTTATTTTTCCTTCGTGTTCACTTTTCAATCCCGTTCTTCGATTGATTATTACATAATCCTTTTCGGGAAAAAATGAAGAATACTTTACTTCTTTTATTTCTCTGCATTACAGGTGACTTGAAGCTTGAGGTATGAAGTTTCAGGAGTAAAGGTATTTTGTATTATGGGGTAGGGTTCCTAGCCTCAAGCTCAAACTTCCCTCTTTGTCAGGCTTACAACCGTCTAAAGGAAGTAAGGATGTTCACCGGCCTGGAATCGATCCCCTGACCGTATGTATGTTTCTAAATCACGAAAAATACCTATTTATTCATAAGTAAAAACACAGTTTTTTTTGTTCAGCGAAGAAATTTCTCCATTCAACGACTTCATTTTCAAGCTGTACAGTCGTATTTATATTACAGAAAAAGGTTATTAATTGGCACTAGATAATCGCTCAGTCAATATACATATCATAAGTGATAAGAATAACGATAATTAAAATGTTATAAGGGGGGTAGAGTTGAAGTGGATAAATTACAAAATTATTAAAGATTGTTTTATAAGTGAATTGATGTCAAAAATGTCAAGTGTTGCCTAAAAGTTTTAAAAATTAGGAGTATAATTATGATAAGAATGAGGATGTGAAGTCAAGTAGAAAGAATTCAAGTGGTAAAATAAAAACTAGAAAGAACATTACTATGACCAAGGTAAAGAAAGGGGTTTTACAAAACTTTTTGAACACATAATTTAGGTTTCTGTTCATGTATAGCTAAAGCTTCGACTATGCATAAGTGAAGAAAACGATTTTGCTACGTAGATAACCTTGAAGGATGAATCACGTGGGGCTAAATGACCAGACTCTAACAGGTGATCACAAGTAGACGACTTCGCAGTTATACGTTCGCCTTTCATTAACCAAACCGGATAGTGTTCAGCTACACGTTTTCGGAGATTACGCTTACAACGTCCAATATAATCAGCTCCACAAGAGCAGTTAAAAGAGTAAATGCACATAGATGTAGACAAAAGCGGTAATCTATCCTTGACTGATTGTCTAATCATATTTCGGCTTGTAAAAACTAGTTGCAAGTCAGCTGCAGGAAAAGTGCGTTTAATACATTTAGATAAACGATTTTTAAATATTTTTGATATTAATTCACTTATAAAACAATCTTTAATAATTTTGTAATTCATCCACTTCAACTCTACCCCCCCCTTATAACATTTTAATTATCGTTATTCTTATCACTTATGATATGTATATTGACTGAGCAATTATTCAGTGTCACTTAATAACCTTTTTCTGTAATATAAATACGACTGTACAGCTTGAAAATGAAGTCGTTGAAAAGAAAAAATTTCTTCGGTAAACAAAAACTGTGTTTTTACATATATGATGTTTGATGAGCACCATCCTTTTGAACCACCGACACACAAATCACCTTTTTATGGGAAAAAATGAAAGAGACGGTTGCAGTATATAAGATTTTGCTTTCCAAAGAAGTTATCAACTATGCTGTACATTAGTGTATATATACAGTAAATATCTGAGAAGTTTCCAGAGCTATTTCCAACCCAGAGTTGAATGATATCGAATAGCAAGACTACAAATGGGCCTTTAAAAAACTGTGAAAATAACAAACACAAACAGGAAGTTGGAATAAAAGACCTAGTAGGATAATCGATACTAAGAAAATCGACTGTTTTTGACGGCTTTGGTATAGACAAAGGTTGGGTGTATTTCTTTTGAATATACAGAGTTGGTTTGCCTTTATAGGATCATTTGAGCCTCAGTTATACTCAGATGCCTCCATCTCACTCCCTTTGAGAAGTTTGATTGTATGTTGAGTAGGACTTCTTTGAGTAAATTTTCAAATGGAGTTAAGTGTCCTGAGTTCACTAGGTCTTCTATTACTGAGTTATGTACACACCTACGTTCATCCTTAACTAGACAGCCTGGACAGTATTCTCCAGCGCATTTTACAAGCGGTCACCTGGTACAGCCAATGTACGACTCATCTCCACAAGAGAAAATCAGCTAGTATATGCATGTTGGCGTGGTCCATTGCTCCAGTTCTTCTTTCTTGTAAGAAAGTGTCACTCGTAGGCTGGCGGCGAAGAATATTTTACTGCTGTCGCTGTTGATTAGTCTCGAATTTAAAAGTAATACTGAAGCAGAAATTCCCTAGAGACGACTTTTAACTTCTCTCGGTAAAACATATTTCATCATTCCCGTGTTGCACTTGAACGAGAAACCCATCGTTTGACATTCAG